GGAGAGAGAGGAGAGAGAGAGAGGAGAGAGAGAGAGAGAGAGAGAGAGAGAGGAGAGAGGAGAGAGGAGAGAGGAGAGGAGAGGAGGAGGAGAGAGAGAGAAAGAGAGAGAAGAGAGAGGGAAGAGAGAGAGAGAGAGAGAGAGGAGGAGAGAGAGGGAGAGAGGGGAGAGAATGAGAGATAGACGAGAGAGTCAGAGAGAGAGAGAGAGTTCAGAGAGAGAGAGAGTCAGAGAGGAGAGAGAGAGTCAAGAGAAGAGATGAGAGGAGTCAGAGAGAGAGAGAGAGAGAGGAGAGAAGAGAGAGAGAGAGAGGAGGAGAGAGAGGAGAGAGAGAGAGAGAGAGAGAGAGAGAGAGAGAGGAGAGAGAGAGAGAATGAGAGAGAGAGAGTGAAAGAGTTAAAGAGTGAAAGAGAGAAATACTTATAGACATCAGGGTAAATAAATCATATAAGTAATCTTGAACATAACTTTTAACATAGTCAAAACATCAATATATTCATGTTCAAATAAAAGGTATGAGATTATAAGAATATGGGACTTTACAAAAAAAAAAAGTATGTGATTCACATCTTAAATACAAAGGTTAGTAAAACATTTATTCATACCATATATTCTTTTCTTTATGACATCCCATAATATATTGCTTCCAAGCAAGTTATAAACAGCTTCAATGTCAATATCTAATTTAATAACTCACTGATCATGCAACTATCAAAATGGATATAATGTTTAACAGAAGCACAATACTCACCTTGTATATCACCCTCCCCTGAACTTCCAGAAGGATTTTGTGCCATTCCCGGTTTTGCCTTAAGGTTGTGTCCACTTTCATTTCTCTCAACATTTCTTGCTTCTCGAAAACTCCCTCTGTCTTTTGCGATACCCTCTTCCTCTCGATGAAGTAAGGAGTGTAAACTTCCATCACCACTAGCATGTCTGCTTTGATTATTCCCTGAAACTTTCCTTTCTCGTGAATTTAGAGACTGTTTTCCTAAGTTATCTGAGTGGCTATTATTTACTGCCTGCCAATCTACACTATCTGATTTATCATTATGTTCCAAATGATCTGACAGTTTCCTTGACTGAGTCTTATCTTCACTTCTTTGATGACTACTATTGTCTAAAAATGTATCACCATCAATCTGTTGTTGGTACTGTGGCAAAGGCTGGACAGTGTTTCTGCTAACATCCCCTACATCAATGCGTTCTTTTCCATCAATCATGTCATCAATGGTTTTTTGGCTTGGGAAAGACTTTCTTTTCCAAACATATACTGTCTGGGGACCAACAATATTATCCCAAACAGACAAGACAAAACAAAATACAATATTATTTTCAAATGGAAGGCATGGAATGTATGGAAAGACTTGACGAAGAGATGGTTTTGAAGATGACCTTCTTGCTGAAGATAAGCTTTCATGAGATCCAGTCTCTTGAATAGTTGGACCAGCAACTTCTTCAGCAACTTCAAGGTCATCAAAACTGCACTCAGATACAAAATCCAGGTTCTCCAGAGAAGCTCTTATCTGGTTCAGTTTACTTGCAATATTTGCACTCATATTAACATTGCAAGCCACTTCAGCTTGACCTTCAGCAGGACCCAATTCTTCTGGGGCCGTTTTTCTCTCTGGTGTCGAAGGGTCACTACAGGACTGATAGTCTGTGCCAGATGTGGGAGTAGTTGATAAAGAACTAAACACTGTAAGGCCATTGTTTCCTTCATTTGGTGCTCTTGATAACACATCTTCAAAGTTTTCACTGGGTCTTCTTGAGCTACAGCTCCTTGATTCTGTCTCAGCAAAAGCTGTGTTCACTTCCATGTTTCTTGCATCTTCAACTGAATTAGGAACTTTTTCAAAATTTGCACTCTCCATCTTACTGTAACATAACGAGCTTTAAACACATTAAACTTCTCAAAAAGAACATATTGTTTAAACTTAAAGTTGCTTCACAAAAAGATTTTTGCTTATTCACGAAGGCAAAAAACAATTTCCAAGTAAGCGTTTCTCATAGCATAAACTATAAACTTCAAAGGATTCCAGGCCATTATATCCAACAGTTTCGCAACTCTGAAACAAATCCACCTCCAGTTCCTTTGATCTCTACATCATTCAAGAAACTACAGAATGCTGTAATTTCCCAAACTAAAGCCCAGTGAGCCAGAAGGTCGAGTGCTGTGATGAGCCAGGCATCAGGAGGCAGTAGGTGCGGAGCAGAGACATACACAATCCACACATGTCCAGCTACAACTGCCAGGGCCACAAGCACCCCGGCCATAGACACCACCATGCTAGATTGGCCTCCACTTTCTATGCTGTTGACTCTTTCAACACGTAACCTTAAATAAGTAGCAATTGTAACAGCATAAATTCACATACAAGTTATTTCTGCTTCATGTTAGTTTTAGAACACATTTTAAGGAAATTTTGAACTGATTTTTTTGTTTTTTTTTTTTTTTTTAAGAGAGAGAGAAACAGAGAGAAAAAAAATCTTTATACTC